GGCAAGACTTAGAACTCCTTTTTCAGGCAAAGCTCCCTTTCAGTTCAAGGGTGGATAAGCCTATTGCAGGGCTGCAGAATCAGGCCCGTATTATTCCCCCTTGCCATTAAAACCCACAGAAGCAGGCTGAGGAGGGGAGGAAAATTCAATGAAGAACGCTTCCGAGTTTCTCCCTCCCCCATATTGTTCCGTCATGGGAGGCACAGGATTTGCCCTTCCCCAAGCCCTGTGGACCTACCAGAAGCCTTATGGCTCCTGGGCCTGCTTTACAATTAAACATTCTGCACAGCATCACCAATACCAAGATTGTGCTCAGCCCGGTCATTCGACATGCCGTACGGACTTTGTTTAGAGTACATGCAGGGGGGTTAGGAGATTAAAATCTGTTTATATATGTGGAGTATAAATCAGTGCCCTGCCAACAAGGGTTTTGGTTCAGACGACTGCTGCTGAATTTGGGACAAGTTCAGATCCGCATGTGAGTTTTGCCTGTCCAACCCATCTCTCCTGAGCAGACAGGTAGGCGAAAGGATGGTGTGACAGCCCTGCTTGCATCATGCTCATAAATACCTGGAAGAGAAAACCACTCATGGCTCAGTTGTGTTTTTTAATTAGGCCTCTACCTGAGAATCTAGTGTTTTGCTGCAAAACACCTGGTGCCATGTGGAGAGCACGGTGCAAGCTTATAAATTTTTCTTGATCAAGTCAGGAAAAAAGAGTTAAAACAAAAATAGAGGGACCAGCCAGTGTTGTTCAGCATAGCTCCATTGTAGCCCTTGACTTCAGTGGAGCTATGCTGGCTTATACCAGTGGAAGAGCTGGCCTATAGTGCTTTACAATAGGTAGAAGTTGGGGTCTTTGAAGCCTGCAGAGCCCCTTAAATGACGCACATAAGACCAGAACTAGAACAGGTTACATCTGTATCACTTCCTATTTGTGTTAACACTTTGTCAATTGAGCAGATTGATGTAGGGCCATTTCCCATTCTTATTGCAATCTTTGTCCTAAGAATGTAGGATCAAAATATTAATGCCCAGTATTGTCTATGAAAATCAGTAAATTGTATGTTTCTGACCTTTACAGTTTCCAAAGTGTGACTTGCTCATCTTATTCCCATTCTCTCATTTATAGCATTGGTAATGAGAATAACAGGTGGTACTGCTAGCTACTGAAAAGAAAGATTCTGTACAAGTTCCAAGTCTAGTGTACATAAAACAGACCTGGTCCCTATCCTACCCCCAATGCCTCACTATTATCAGGGTCATCTCAATCCACTTCCAGGCCCCACAGAGAGCACTCTGGATCAGTCAGATGCATGGGCTGGCCAGGACTGAGGGGAGGGGCTTCACTGATCCTCTAGAGATCAGGAAAGATAGGTTGTATGATCCTGGGTTACATTACCTTTCCACTGGGGCCCCTCCATTATGGAGATGCACTCGTGTTGAGTATTCCCTTAAGTAATCCCACTGGGTGACACTTCCCAGGGCTGTGAGGCAACCCACTACCAAATGCCTTTGGTGTGAGAGACCCTTATTCTGCCTGCCATGAGTCAGCTGCCTGACTCCACCAGCCACGGCCAACACAAAGTCTAGGTCTACACAAGCCCCGCTCTCTCTCTCTACAGGTTACTGATGGGCACACCCCAACTCCGAGCATCTCCCTGAAGTATCCAGCTTCTGTTCCGCTGGAGGCCTGCAGTAGTCACTGTTGCTGTCCTGCCAAAGAAGCCATACACGCCCACTTACCAGTTACAGCTCACATCACTGCTCTGCTTGACACACAGCACTGAGAAATGTTTATAGTGAAAACAAGGAAAAGCTTAACAAAGTGTAGTAATTCAAGTGATAGCAAATAGAAGTACTGGAAACAAATGGTTACATATAAAATCAGAACATGCATTCTAGAACTTAGACTTACTTAACTAGATCCTTTCATATCTTATAAAGCAATCACCCAAGTCCTGCCAGTGTTTTACAGTCAGGCTTCGCTGTGACCTCCATTGATAAGATACATGCTATTCTTAACTTGCTTCCTCAGTGAAGGATCCAGGGTGTACCTCTACAACCCCACTTACACCCTCAACAACCCATTGTCTATATTCATAACCAAAATCCCCTTCTGTTTATTTCTTCCTATAAACTTCCTCTCTTGAAAACATTTTCAATCTCTTGATTAACTTTTGGCTCAGTATGCGCAGATGACCAGACAGAGAGAGAAGCATCTGTTACCTCCTGCTTGAAAGGAACCTGGCTGAAACATGTCACCTCCTGGTGACATGCCTGAATTTAAGAATATAATTTTCAGTATTGATACATAAATTCTTAAATATTATACATCACTGCAAAATATATGGATGGATGATGACGAGCAGGTTACTGGCTCTCACATGCCACCCTCTAGTGAATTATTAAGGGTGGCCTCACATGCCACCCTCTAGTGAATTATTAAACATGTATCTGACCCAGAGAATCCCTGTTAAACTATCTGCACCCCCTTTTCTCCTCTGCCAGTTGGCACCAAGAGGTTCCTGGGCCACAATTGGTAAGCATGGCAGAATTGAGCCCTCTGTGGCTTAGTGGGGGCCATACACCAAATCAGTCACAAAGCTGGGAATAGAAGATGTGAGTCCTGACTCCCATGCCCCTGCTTGATCCACCAGACCATGTTCAGGAGACCACCATTTTCTGTACTTCTTACTGATTGATTATTTCACATCATGCAACATGACAGCAAATTATTGTGTTGCACTATCCTTAACATGCCCCAGGAACAATGCATCTGCCAAACATTTGAGAAAATGCTACACTTTTCTAAATTGTATGGATGTAATATCATGGATTACAGACATGTCTGAAGCATTGTTGCTCGTGGAAAGAGGTGGGTCAGGTGTCTTATACCTAGCTTTGAAAGGGTTAGATTTTATCGGTAGGTGTTGGTAAACTTCTATTTCACCATACACATACAAACCAATGAAAAAATATTTCTATTGATGATGATAGAAATTTACAGATATGCAAAATAAGAAAAACACTGCTTGGGAACTTATTAGAGTCAAAATCCAGTGATCTAGACTAGTGAATTAGGCTTATGGGCTAGTGAATTAATAGTAAAAACAGGCATGATTTGTTGAGTTAAGGATTTTTTGACATGTGATGTTGACAATTTGTGGTTTAAAGCTTTAACTTCTTGAATCTCAACGTCTGCTGTCACTAAATAGTTGTCTGACACCCCACCATAATTTCCTGCAACTTTGAACATTTAAATAGCTAAAAATAAAAAAACTTTAAAATAATTAATATATCCATCAACATTATAAAAATAATATTGAATTTTGCTAAATCTACTTATACCAAATTGTTTCTGACTGAGTTAATTCAGACTGATAAAGTACCATGACTGATACTATCAAACAGATTGTTACCAAATTTGGTCCAGCAATAAAATTAGAGGTGAGCCTGAAACCAAAGCACCAGAATCAAACACCCCCAACCCTGGAGGGAGTATGAAATCCAACCATGGATCATTTCTCAGAGGGTTCCTAGATATTTATAATAAGATGAACTGAAGCTCTGGAACTAAACACAACCTAACTTTGGGTATTTGAAATCCAGATCCAGACCTGAAATTAGCAGCATGAGCCCATCTCTAAATAGAGTCAAGATAATTTCGCTATGACAAATGGATTTTCATATAAATTGTGAAGTGAACATTATATGTTACTAATAAAATCTGACATAAAATCTACCTAAAGTTTAATTATGATCCTATTATCCAATGCAGAAAAGATATAACACCATTCTTGCTCATCTCAGGAATGCTAATTCTGGTAAGAATCACTCTTTTTGATGGATGCTAACATAACTGAATTATTAGTCCGATATCTAGACCCAAAGGGCAAATGCTAGCTGGATTAAAATTTAGCACAGTACCCATTTTCTACAAATATGGGTAAATGCTGTAGTCCGTTTTTGTCCGAGTAAGAAATTATTAAAGATTAACAAACACCCACAGAAGTCAGTAAGAATTCCGGCTGAGTAAAGACTGAGTGAGGCCATCAGAATTTGTCCCATGCTAAGATTAGATTCCACTGATACATAACAACTTAGAGTCCACACAAGCACTCATTATTTGAAAATTATATCAATCAATAGAAGAGAAAAAAGACTGAAAAAAATTATGTGATGGTATTTGGAGAGGAGGGAAAGGATGTCAGAATATAACTCCAAGTTACTCCTTTTAGAGCCCTATCCTGCAAAGCGCTGAGCAGTTCTTGGAGGTGCTGGTTATAAAAGTAGAATTTACTGCATTATTCCTGAATAACACGAATTTGCTAAAAAATTGTTTTGTGGTATCAGCCATGATACTTAATGAGACTTGATGAATTCCTGTTAAAAGCAATTTGATATAAGATGCCTGACCCTTCCAGAAGCAAAATCAGATATTTCATGCCCACTACATTTAGAAAAGTGCAGCATTGCCCATGAGAGAAGAGTACATGCCACACCTTCAAAAGCTGCTCAACACTTTGCAGGATCTAATCCTTAGATAATACAGTCCTAGAAAAACCATTTCTAATATCCAACACAGTGTCAACATGGAAATACTACTAAAGGCTTTTATTATTAATAATGTATATTACATTTAATATTAAATACTGAAGCAACTGGGATTTTTGCCTGAGTATGAACTGCAAGAGGCACCGAAAATTCTTTGTTTTCTTCTGCTGCCCCATCTGTTGATAGAATTGTGGGTCAAGCAATGGTGGTCGTTGCATTGTTTTGATTTATGAGCTAGTGGAAAAACTAAATTGACTTCTTATAAGAAGCAAATTAAAAGCAAAGGTGCTTTCAAGTAAAATAAATTTCTAAACAGATAATGAATTACACTTTGAAGGTAAAGTTCTACCAGGAAGAATAAGGGAGAAATAGTTTTAAGCAATCCTGCAGAATGTTGAGCTGCATACAGTAAGTGAATACATGTATAATTATATTTGTAATTACCAGCATTCTCAACGGTGGTTGGCTTTTCATGTCTAGGCATCGTGACTGTATTTCACAGGGCTGTTCTAGCTGCTGCCTGTACAGGAGATTGCTTGAAGGATAAGTAGTTCAAGACAAAGTATCTAGCACATCAACCGAGTTTTGCCTGTCAGCGAAAAGGAGGCGCTGCTGCAGTTTCATGGACTGAAATATAAGAAGGTACTAATTTCCCAAGTGATTAACTTTTCATGAATGTTTAGTTTACCATTTAGGGTTGGAGTACTGGGGTCAAAAGGAAGGGAGAGCTTGTTTGCGTTTTTTTTTTTTTTTTTTTAATTTTGAAAAGGAACAAAAATTCTTTCGGAATATACACTCCTACAGAAGCTAGCGCAGTTGTTTAAATGATTAAGTGCTTTGCTAAATCAGGACCTCATGCTTTGGCTACACAGGAAAGTTTTGCCAATATAGTTATAACCCCCCAGCCCACCCCCGTGAATGTTCTTATTCTGGTATAGAGTGACTTTTTGGGTCCATGTTAAACCTCTTCCTAAGCAATATAACCTAAACCCCCCAAAAAGTATTCTTATACCAGAATAAGAGTGTCTACGTTGCGGGAGGGGAGAGCTTATCCTGGTATATTTGTTTAAATTCATAGCTTAGTTTATATTGAAAAAGCTTTCCCGTGTAGACATGGAATATAACTAAGTAGCCTGATTTTCAGTGGTGCTGAGTGGAACTAAGAGTGCTGGAGGTGCTGCCACACCCCTTGGCTTGAAGTAGTAATAACAAATACCAAATATATGGTTTCCATGGTTTCTATCATCAGCACCCCCACTATAAAAATTGTTCCAGCACCCCTGTTGATTTCTCAAAGATGTTGAGCATCCATGAGCTCCTAAATACATCTGAAAATTAGGCCACAGATTTAGATCCCTGAATATGGGTCTTAGGATCCTCTTTGAAAATCTTGGCGTCTACATTTAATAGGTAAGTACTTTTTTAAATTCTCATTACCCTCCAAACATTGATTGACAAAGCATTAGAAAAAAAGAAGCAAAAAGAATCTCTCCCAATATAAGTGTCCAAAGGCTAGGATAAGAGCAGCAGAGTTCACCTTTGAAATATATTTGATGCTGTTTTTAATACAATCTTTGAGTGCCTGGAAATGAATAGTTAAGGGAACTATACGTTTACCACTGCCCTACTATTGTTTAACATTTAGAGTGCATTAGCACCTAAAGTCTTCAGCCAGGTTGGATCCCATTGTGTTAGTCATTGTACAAAGATATAAGAAATGACGACAGTTTCTGCCCCAAAGCATTTAAAATCTAAATCGTTCTTCATTCATACTCACCCTGCCTTAATTTTGTCCCTAACATTTGCAAAAATATATACATAGCTCAAAATAAGAAATTACTGGGCAATTGCTGGAAACTGATTCCTTGCACAGGAAACAGGATTTTATAAAATCCTAGCAAGCTGTTGTTTTGACTTTTGCAATTATTTTTGCAAATTGCAGGGGCAAAGTTACATTTGGGTGGGTGGAGTAAACCAGGTGACTTGATAGTGAATGATGGAGGGTTATATGGCAATGGAAACTGGCTGGATCCCTTCCCAGTTCATTTCCCTTGCCTGTCTATTGTCTTAAGGTTGTGTGTTGATTTGGGGTTTTCATTTTATTTGGTTTCTGGAAGTTGTGGAATTTTTCAAAAGAGACTAACATTTGATGTGTGTTGTTTGGACTCCACTGCAACACAATTTACTAACAAAATATGTAAAGATGTTCAGTTTTAATTCCACCCAGACCATTAATCTGCAGCAATACAAATACTCCCAGTCAAAAAGATTAATTCTGCATTTATAACCGTAAGAATTCTCTCTTTATGACAGTCTTACACCACTCCTGAAAATTTGTCTATAAAATTAGTTTCTTGAACTATTTTCACTTAACTTGTTGCAATTTAAAATTCATTACAGGGAAAACATAGCTTCTCGTGATTTTTTTTTTTAATGTGATTAGGAAAAGATTTACAGTGAAATTTCCCATCTATCTACATTTCATATTATGGAAAATTATCTGAGATGAGCCTGGGAAACATTTGTAGTTCAGAAAGAAATACAGGGATAGATTCTGATCCAAGCTACCCAGTGTAACTCCAGAATAATTCCATGTCCAACCACCCTAATTTTTAAAAAACTGTAGAGGGAATAACAGTACAAAGTCTTGTAAATTACCCTGTGGGTTTAATTTAATATTCTATTCTTACTTTAAAGGAATCACAAGCATGACATTCAAATTCATGACACTGCAGGCATTTAAGAGAAGCTGTAGGCATTTAAGCAGAGCATTATAATCGTGCATGTTTTAATTACAATGCAAGTGAAAAACATCAATCTGTTATCCAGGAAAAAACCCTTGGCAGAGTTTTATATTTCATCCTGAAGAACTTCAGTTCAGTAATATCTTATTTCTGTTTGTCAATCACACTGAAAATATTTAATGAAATAAACCACTTATCTGTATGGGAAAGGGGAAAGAAGGGACTATAAATGCAGACCTGGCTTGTCTGACTTCTCTTTTTTGTATGGAATTAACAATAACACTAAGACTGGAAAGTCAAGCACTAAAAGTGAGGAAATGGCAGAACTTAGACTGTCCATGCCTGGTACGTATTCGTTATGATAGTCTTTAATTTCATGGTCACCTACTTTTTATAGAACCCCTGCCTCATTCAGAGCACAGCATGGACAGTGCTCATTTGAATAAGCAGTTATTCAGTATTTTGTTGTAGCCTTACTGCTCACGTGTGACCTTATGCTTTATTTACTGAACACTATTCAGACCCCACTCTGAAGACAGAATTACTAACTTCCACATGGGCTTTTCTAAAGCACTCATCAGTACAGTATCCAAGTGCTTCACAAACATTAGTTTATCTTCACTGTAGTATATTGAGGACTGTACTGGAATCAAAGGAAAGGTTTCCTGGCCCAGACTGCAGGCTAGGGGGCTCTCTAGCACAGTGCTTCTCAAAGCCAGTCTGCCGCTTGTTCAGGGAAAGCCCCTGGCGGTCCGAGAGGGTTTGTTTACCTGCCATGTCCGCAGGTTCGGCCAATCGCGGCTCCCTCTGGCCGCAGTTCACCGTCCCAGGCCAATGGAGGCTGCGGGAAGCGGCGCGGGCCGAGGGATGTACTGGCCGCCCTTCCTGCAGCCCCCATTGGCCTGGAGCGGCGAACCGTGGCCAATGAGAGCCGCGATCGGCCAAACCTGTGGACATGGCAGGTAAACAAACTGGCCCGGACTGCCAGGGGCTTTCCCTGAACAAGCAGCGGCCCGACTTTGAGAAGCACTGCTCTAGCAAACCATGGGATCAGAGTCAGTCAAGAAAGAGCTCTCTTAAAGTAAGGTGAGGTATGTTGTGCTTTGGTGTCTTTGGGTGCAGTCTGTTTTCTCTCCATTTTGGGGTTCTTCTGTATTCTACATTCTAGGAAATAAAGTTACATTGTCATATTCACCATGCACATAGTAGGTTGCAGGACTGCTACTAGCAGTCAGATATGGACTGACTACAGAGCTTCCTTATCAGATACACCAAAGATGTCTTCCCTTAAGATCCTTTAATGTACTGCCAGATATGGCTGATGTTAGCTTTAATAAGGTATTTTACACACAACATTCCTAAGTGGCTGAGCAGCATAATACAGTTTAGGATTCCAACTTTAAGTTCTACATTACTATCATTTACAAAATGTACAATATCACGCTATCTTTGAAATTCAATGTGTATCAACCTGCAAGTGTCTCTGAATTGTACTGGTTTTCTAATTACCCTACCCAAATGTGTAACAACTTGGTCATCTGGTGTCTGTTAGTTGCAATGACTGGCTGGGGTTGGCTTCTTGTTCTGCATTGCCATCTGTAGATTTTGTTCTGTTTGCTCTTTCTGAGGAACAAACTCAAGCTGTTGATGGCTTGTGTTGAACGCTCCACTGTAGTCTTGATCACATACATGATCTGGGCAATGAGTTCTTTGCCTTTACAACAGCTGGAGTTGGCCATCTCCCATCAAGTTTGACAGGCACACAAAGATTCTAAAGCCAGCAGTTCTTTAATTGTTATCTGTTGTAAAAATATTCATAAGCTCTTTGTCTCTATCTGATTTTTGGCTATTCTCTTCATGTCTTACCACTTTGGAGTTTGGTTCTGTTCCAAAGTTGGAACAGTAGTTCTGAGTTGTCATCCACCAGCAGCTGACTTTGGTGTTGATCTCTAACTCAGAAGAGCAGGGAATGGATCTTCCTGCTGTAAGATTTTCTTGGCTGTCTGTTCAGCTCTTTCTTGACCTCTCCACCCACTTGTGTGTAATGTGGATTGCTAATAATCTGATCAAAATCCTATTTTGTTTGGAATGACTTAATTCTGCTGCAGTGAATTCTGAGTTTGAATTTGTTCTTGAATACTGAAGTGAGCAAAAGTGCACTTCAGTTTCTCAATACTATGGTATGTCATGACTTTCAAATACATTTATTTCTATCTACCTGGAAAAATAATCCACTGTGACCAGGTAGATTTCTTCTGGATTCACAGAAATCTGCAATTAGTCTATTCCTAGTTCTGTCTGGTAAAGGTGTTAAAAGTTCTTTCTGTTATGTTGGTCTGTTAGCTCTGCAATGTTCACAGGTGATTCTTTATTGTTTTAGGTCCTTGCTGATGCCCGGCCACCACACTGACTTGTTGGCCAGTTCACAGCACTTAGTTAATCTTTGATGTCCTTCCTAGATGAGGTTAAGGATTTCTCCTCTCATTTCATTTGGAATTACAATACAATTACCTTTAATCATGAGTCTATTTGACTCACTTAATTGTCCACATCCTTCAAAGTAGTCTCCTGTCACTTCCTTTGTGTTCATTAGATACTAGGGCCAGTTGACACCAGTGTTACTTAGAACCTCTTGAAGTTGCGTGTCTGTCAAGGTTGTCATCTTTGTGAGTGTCTTCCATAAAATCCTTGAATGTATTGCCAGGTGTGGCTGACCTTAGCTTATATGAGGTTGTGACACTCTGTACCTCGAAGCAGCACCGTGAAACCTCCATATTCACCACTATCATACAATTATGATATGTTTTGTATAAAAGTATTCCTTGTCTGGTATCATTTTAAAAGTCTTGATCTGTTGAACATTAATAGCCTGT